TACTTGCAAGAAATTCGAAACCAACCCGACGAGCCGATAATGACCGATTAGGTTGGGAGTAGATTTTTTTTTTTATATGTAACGAGCAGTGGAGCAATCGCTGGAAATATTCTAGTTACGAAGATTATTTGAATATCGTCGCACTTTGCCAGCGTACTATTTCTCGCACACAACGACAATTGCGGCGCGCCTCGAACTCCAATCGGGCATTTGATCGGCGCCCTCGTTCACCACAACCGAGAGAAGCACCCTCCTGGGGGATGGGCAGCCGTTTTATTTTTTTTTTCCACCACCGCATCCACTCGGCGGCGTATTTTCGTCGAGCGTTCGGTAATCGCGACTCGCCCTTAATCGTGCAATTACGCACGCTCCCTTTTCCACGCGGTGGCGCGAGCGGCGTATAGTGACGCGCAGCGTGAGGGTAACTTGCAGCATTACCGGGAGCAGTTCGCGTCTCTCTAACTTCTATCTACCGGCGGATTCCCCGTTTAAGCCAAAATCAATAGGCGCGTGCTCCGATCTGATAAGTATCCCGAAGAGAGGGTTCCACCTCTCTCTTTCATGCAACGGAGAATCCTCTTGCTTCGGCACACATACACTCGCGTCGTGTACGGTTAAATATATTCGTGCGAACGCATACAAGTATGTGTAAAGCCCTACCGTCGCTCTCTTGTCACTCACGAAGTTGATTTGTTCAACTGATTTGAAACTGACTTTTATTATTGAGTCTTTGCATTTTTAACCGATTCTTTTTTTGCTAGGCGAACTTTTTATTTTTATCGTTGCTTCTGGTTTGGAAAAAAATCTACGTGCCGGTCCGGATATAAAACTCGAAATATTCAGGTACATGTGTGCGGAGAATGCGACTCGAGGGTGGTTTATAACCCCCATTTTAAATTACTTCGTACTGCGTGATAGTATTTTCAGGTTTACACACGGTCACGTGCGATCCCGTTCCATTTAAACAAGGGCTTTGCTGTGTTTTGCTCAACTCTTTCCTCCTGCAAGCATTCCCGGTTGTGCTTTTACATTGCCACCATTGCGTCGCACGGCCGTAAATTCTTCGTTACCGGAACTTTTTAACGAAACTCTTTCGAGTAATCCCTTTGGCGTTCTGTGTTTGCCGAAAAGATTCCGTCGTCGTCGTCGCCGGCGCGACACGTGACGTAACTTCCCTCGCGCACTTTGTCTTATGCAATCCCCTCCGGTAAAACACGCGCCGTGCAAGAATCCGTGGAATTTTTCGAGTTAGCTCCACGAGCTGCCGCGATCTGAAAATCCGGAACATTTGAACAAAAACAAAAAGGCTGGACGTTTAATCCTCACGGAAATACGGAGTAATTCCGCTGTCTTCCGCCTCCGCCTCGAACAGTCGCCCTCCCCGTCGCTGTTCTCGATTGTCCTTTCGGTCCGACTATTTGACCCGTTCTCTTTTTAATTAAAACAGAACTTTTGTTCAATTACATTATACACGAAGTATCCTGGATTCACCGCGAGTCACTCTTTAACCGTAGGTACTCGAATCGAATTAAGAAGAATGGGAATTGTTTCAACACTGAACCATCAATAATATGAGTATGTACACAGTGAAACTTTATTCTTTAATTAAATCAAGTAGATTCGATTTTGTGACAATTTTAATTGCCGCGACGTCGAACATCGAAAACGGAGAAATTTTAATCAGTCTCTAATCCAAATTTTTCAAAAGAATAATTTTATTCGAATCAGAAGTAAAATTTTAATTATTGAAAATTAACTTTGCACAGCAAAGAACTATTCTTCGTCAATACTTGGCTGTTACGCGTGCCTAGCCGCGCGCAAGTTGCGTATCGTAATAATTTCGCTGTCACGGCGCAAATGTTTCTTTGATGACATTGGCTCATTGTCGCAACCCGCGCTAATTGTCGCTTTTGCCCGGAGCGGGCCTGCCTATTAGCATACGCATCCGAGCGTGTCGGGTTTCTTGCTGCTCCTAGCCGCCCTCGTTCGCCCGAATGTCACGTGAAACGAGAGAGCGCTACCAAGAGCGCTTCTCTCTCATCCCTGATAATTCATTTCCTTAGCAAACCGCGAATGTGGTTTCGTTAACTATCCAAAGTCGCGCCTTTAATTAAGCAGCAAAGCTAGTTTGGCATTTTCGTAAAATAATCTTTTTCGCGCAACGCCATAGTCACGTTCTTTGCATTGTGAAATTTTAATATTGGATGGATCTGGGTATTTCCAAGTCGACGATTTCCGGGCGTATTCCCCCCCCCCC